AAAATAAAATTGGAAGTTAGAAAATAACCAAAAAGTGCTGAGTATTTATGTGTGGCACCTAATAATCTCTTATCAATACACTTTCCATTGAACTAATCAACAGATAAACATACTTTGTTTGTATTTAGGATCTCAATCATTTAAAAACTGACATGGATYCATATGATTCATAAAAAAATAAATTGTCTTTCAGTTTTTGTCAGTAATTTTCCAGTTTAATGGACTGAGGATAAAAGTGAGATTAGAATGACTTCAGATGAAATCCTCTGTGTTTATGGAGACTTTACTGAGAGAAACACTTTGTCTCCATGTGGAGAGAAATAATCGTTTCTCTTCAGACATGTGGATTAACCTGCTCCTGTGCTTTTGATTTAGGCATTTCCCCTCCCTGATTTACATATTCATTTGCTTTCTGGGTATCCAGTTGTCTTAAGATATTTTTCATCTTGTTTATGCAGTCTGGAATTGAAAGTAGCTCCGATTTGTTTGAGAAACAAAAGACAAGAGCAAGAAGCCTTTTGCCTTGCAAATTGGGATGTTTTTTATTGACTTTGTTGCGTGTCAAGAAGTTGTCTGCTCTCAGACATAAGGTGAGCTTTATGGTTTTTGGTTGGTTGTACCAGTCTTTATCAGGCTGCAGTTTCAGGATTGACCCATTCCCCTGGCTGGAATCTAACACAGTGCTGCTAATGRATCTGAGCAGACATGTAGAAAGACCGTTATATTTATGAGTCACACTGGTGGATGTAAAACATTCATTTACACAGAACTCCATGAAAAGATGAAAATAAAATGTTGAAAAGAAATTCAATCCTGTTAGTTTACTTCATTACGTGTTCAACACCAGATAGAAAGTACAGCAATAACTGAAGGTTTGAAAAGAGTTCATACAGCCACACCAGCACTGGACTGAAGTGTCAGCAGCTTTAATGTTTTTTCTCTCCGTGCATTCAGCGAAGCATCCAGGAAGTATTGTTTCTTCAAGGCCTGACCCCGCCTCCAGCCATG